AAATCTGTTTTCATGCGTTATCTCCATTCATTGAAATGCATCTGTCCAATTTTTTATTTTGGCTTGATGCGTTACTGCTCAACAAAAATTCAAATATGGCGAGGGCAACATAGTTTCTTGCCAAATTTGTTACTATTTTGATGAAAGCCTGTAGCGTTTATAAATATTGTTCGAACATTCTTTTACTTAATTTCTCGTATGCTTTAAAGCATTTTTGGGAAATATGCATCTGCTACACCTTAGATGAAGATTTACGAGTTCANCTATACTTCCCTACTTAAGCTTAAGACCACTTAATCGTCCTGCCTAAATAATATATGAAAGAGACAGCACAGCAGGTTAGTGATAGTTTGATGTGAGAAAACATTGTATTTCAAAGTCTCGAGCAAGTCTGGACGACCCTACTCGACTAGTCTCAGTGGCTGGAGAATTAAGCCTCCCTAATGGTTGACCAGACCCCTTGTTGACCAAAAGCCCTCCGTGGTTGACTAGCTATTGTTTACACCTGCTTAAATATCTAACAACCATGCATAAACTCATGCAAACTGTGCTTAAACTTACTTAAAGAGCATCAACAGAAATAAGCCACGAAACTTAACTGACTCTTCATACTTGACCTTAACAATTCTTGGATGATTTAGATGAGTTACTTACTGAAGGACACCTTCACCTGAAAGCCACTATCCAAATCAAGTATTTTGTTAGAATCCTTACTATAAAACAACAATAGAGATTAAAGTTTGTAGGAGAGAACTAGAGTTTAGCTAAAGCAAAAGAAAATTGTGAGTGACAGAAGAGAGAAATGCAAGCGAGACTTGTCTTAAACAACTGAGCTGATGCTTAGAACAATGCCAGAAAGTGTGTTTAATTCCTCTTTCACATCCATACCTTTCTATGTAAAATTGTGCTTCATACTTCTGTAAGTCTAATGCGATGATATGCATTACTTGGGTTTTACTCTACTAGTCGGATGAATATCTCAAATCTTTTATGCCCACTAGATTGCTCAAACTGTGCCTCATTTCATGAACAGATTATAGTTAAAACAGGAACCTACTGCTCTGAAATCACGTGTGCGAGACCAAAAATCTGTTTTCATGCGTTATCTCCATTCATTGAAATGCATCTGTCCAATTTTTTATTTTGGCTTGATGCGTTACTGCTCAACAAAAATTCAAATATGGCGAGGGCAACATAGTTTCTTGCCAAATTTGTTACTATTTTGATGAAAGCCTGTAGCGTTTATAAATATTGTTCGAACATTCTTTTACTTAATTTCTCGTATGCTTTAAAGCATTTTTGGGAAATATGCATCTGCTACACCTTAGATGAAGATTTACGAGTTCAGCATTTGTGTTCCATCTAATGCAGTTGGAGATATACAGCCGGTGTTATAATGATCGACCATTGGTTATTCAAGGTGCGGGAGCAGGCAATGATACTACAGCAGCAGGCGTCCTTGCAGATATCCTTGATACTCAGGATCTCTTTCCCTGACAGAAGCTTTGTGCCTTTGGTCCATAAAAATTCAAGACGCTGACATTCCTAGGTATGTCAGCTATCATGGCAACAAAGAGTTACTAGATTGGGAAAGTTCATGGGTTATTGTACTGAGAAAATGCGTTATGATATTTTTCAAGCTGCTTACATGAAAGATGATGATGAATTTTTTTTGGTAATATTTGACATTCATGAAGATACCTTGAAGTTTTTCATTAAGCTGTTCAGTCCGAAGCTCTGGCTGGCTTGCTCCATATTGTACAGAAACTTCTAAATAGATGTGTACTCCAACGAACTTGATGCTGTATGGGGTTACCGTGGAGATGAGTTGACTGTAAATTTGGCAGATCCACCAGAATAAATATGATTGACGAGATAGAATGATTAAACAAACTCGGGCACTGCATGATTTTCTTACCGCAAGAATTTTGTACTTGGGACTCTTCAGTATATGCAAAGTACCCAGGTTGAATACATGTACATGTACACATGCAGCTTGGGTAGACATGTCTAGCAGTTCAATTTGACATATCTTTATTTTGTATTAGTGTATTAGCTTTCTTGAAACTAGATGAAAACAGAATTACAATCCAATGACAAGCAAATCAATAGGCTGGCATGAGATTTGTCCACTGGTAAGTCTGGAAGTGAATCTGCAATGACTTTAGAGGCCACCTAGTGTGCTGCTTTGTCACAACTCCTTGGTTTGAAGCTAAATTGGGTATGGAAATTTCTTGCAGAAACTCTGATATCTTGTACAAAAGCTTCCATTTTTACTAAATCCTTAGAACTCCGGACTATCAATTCTGCATTATCGTTTTCTATTAATCTGTTGGACAATTTTAAAGTTTGCACCAGGTATATATCAAGTGGCCCAATGCTTCCTACTGATGTGAACTTTCTTCTAGAAACCTGATCACACTTGGTATGCAGGGCGAGTTTGGTTTAAGGTTCGAAAACTGTTTTTTGTTATTAAAATTTCAAAAACACTTAAAATTTGTTTGTTTAAATTTTTTGTTTTCCAATTTTTAGAAAAAAATGAGATTTTGAGCAAAGAAATAAAAAACAAGTCTAGCTTGTTTGTAGAGTTTTTTTTGAAAATTTTGGGAACAAGAAGAATAATTTTGGACTTTAATGAGATCTGTCCTTCGAGTTCTCTTAGCAACAAAAGTCTTCATTCTTTTTTTTTTTTTTTTTTTTA